AGCTGCTGTCCACACTTTCATCCAGATAATGGAGACCTCATGTGTGGAGCTTGTGAGCAATGGGCTTGATTTCATTTCTCTTAGTGGCCAGCGAGCGACGAAAACACATATTTTTGTTGTTGTTTACTTGTGTGAGAAGTGTGTTGACTACTAAACAAATGGTTGTCAGCGAGATCCTATATACGCTCGCTGCTCTTGATTCAGAGTGTACACCTCCTCCATGTGTGTGTGTGTGTGTGTGTGTGTGTGTGTGTGTGTGTGTGTGTGTGTGTGTGTGTGTGTGTGTGTGTGTACATGAATGTACCTTAATTTGCTCCTCTTTACCCCCATAGTGCAGCTGTGCCTCAGAGAACTCTTGTGAAGTAATTGAATGAGCTGAAGCCGCGGTTGGATGTGGGGATGGTGGTGGTGGTGGGGACCTGTGGAAGTGAATGCGGTGCCCGCTGGCCTTATTATCCTCAATACAGCAGCCGCTCTGCCTGTGCTTTCTCATCCACTCATGAATACAGAAATGAATGTGATGGACGTCAGAGGTGAGCGCAGCGGGAAGAACCGGGCCGGAGACCGTTTTAATCAGCTCCCAGATAGAACAATCACTTTATCCACCTCCACAGCTCAGAGGTGAATTAGTGTTTAACATTCCAGGGCATGCTTTCTGACAGGGGACTCCACCCCAAACAACCAATGGACTGCAGAGATTATTGAGAGACACTCTGGTGTTTCTGATGAGTAAATTAGGACTAAACATGCCCCTGGGACTGCAGAGACTGATACGCCTGATCTGCTGGAAGACCGCTTTTTTTAAATAAAGGGTTTTTTTTGCAAGAAAATAAAAGTGGGTGTTGTCCCTTTGAAGGCTTTGTTCTTATGTACAGAACTGCTCAAAAGTCATTCACCATTGTTAATGCTACAGTTCAAAGGGACCAGATATTCTGTTGCCCCTTAAGGTGGTGCTGATCAGGATTTTTGGGGGTATGAAATCAATTGAATACTATAAGTATATATATATATATATATATATATATATATATATATATATATATATATATATATATATATTTATATATATATATATATATATATATATATATATAATTCACACACGCACATAATTTACTGTACAGACTTTTATATTTCCCGTTGTGAATCTTATTTGCCACTGTTACACCAAAATTTCATCACGGAGGGACAAAAAAGACATTTCTCTTCTCTTCTCTTCTCTTCTCTTCTCTTCTCTTCTCTTCTCTTCTCTTCTCTTCTCTTCTCTTCTCTTCCCTTCCCTTCCCTTCCCTTCCCTTCCCTTCCCTTCCCTTCCCTTCCCTTCCCTTCCTTCCTTCTCTTCTCTTCTCTTCTCTTCTCTTCTCTTCTCTTTTTAAGGGTGGCAGTAGCTCAGGAGGGAGAGCAGGTTGTCCAGCAATCAGAGGGTTGTAGGATCAATCCCGGGTCCCAGCAGAGAATGCTGCTGTTGTGTCCTTGGGCAAAACACCTACATTACCTGCAGTGGTGCCAGTGCTCGTGAGCCTCTCCTCTGTCAGTGCACCCCAGGGCAGCTGGGGCTACACTGTAGCTCATCACCACCAGCATGTGACTGTGTGTGTGAATGGATGAATGAATGGGTGGTGGTGGTTTAGGACTCTGGAAGATGGTATATAAAAATTTTCTACTCTAATCTATTATTTTCTACTCAGCTTTATTCTATTCAGTTTTGTTCTTTTCTATTCGAGTTCTTGTCGGCATAGGTATAATGTGCTCCAGAGTAAGTGCAGGACAGAAGGAATGTCATTAATAAAAGAAAAATCTACATACAGAAGTTATTTAATGTTTGATGGTTTAAAATTGTTGCACTGTTAAATATGTCACCACAGAAAATATTGATGATTTGTTTGTATTTACCTTCTCTTCAGCTACAGCAATCTGCACTTTACCTTTAAGTGCAGATTTTGCAGAAGGACCATTTCAGCTCCTCAGAACCTTCTCAGACTCGTCATTAAAGCCTGGAAATGTCCGTCCTTGTCTGCCAGCAGACATCAGCATCGCTGTCAAAAGTACAAATGACATCAGGGACATTCCCAGGCGAGTCCGTGAGGTCCATTAGACTTAAGCCCAGAGCCGTTCCACTTTACGGGGTTTTTCGCAGCAACCTGGTCTCATGGGCAACCTTCTAAAGTACACTTTAAAGTCTACATAGTGACCTCTGCCTTGCTCTGATGGACAAATGGGCAATTTTCCCATTGATCTTCCAGCTGCTGCAGCCTGAACTCTTCTCCAAAAGCTTAGAGGAAACCATTTACCATATCTGCTTGTTAAAAGGTGCAGTCATTCAGAATTCCCTTAGATTACTCTCAGGTGGATTTCCTGGTCCTCCAACAGACCCACTAACTTATGGTGGAGGATGTGTGATCTAAAGATGGACTTCAGGTTCAATGTAGGAAAAACTGCCACAAATATCAACAGCAACATGATTATTTATCGTTTGTAAGACAAAACATTTTTCTAATCAAAGGCAAAAGTTAAACAGGCACTTACTGATTATCATTTAACACATTTCTTTAAAACGATTACAGACATTTTTAAGCTTGCCTTGATAAACATGAAAAAGTAAACAATCACACACCTTTTCTTGTAAAATCCTCTCTTTTTGTTGTTTCTGTGCTTATTCGAGTTTAGGTTTTAAGAAAGCCTGTGTTCAGGCAGGAATGTGTTGTTTTCTTTACTAAAAGTACAAAACAAATGTCAATTTTTGACCCACAAATGAGAAAAAAGCAACAGGGCAATAAACAAACAAATGAAGGAATATAAATAAGCAGCCAGCTTTAAATGTGCTGTTTTCCTTTGCTCTGTTTAATACAAACTCGTTTTAAACTATATTTAAAAACCAATCACTTCATTAAACTCTGGTGCTTTTGTTCTACCGTGCCATTGTTCCTTTGCCGGTTCCTTTCTGCTCCCAGTTTTGGGGACAAAGGCTGAAGCTGAGGTTGTGCTGCGTCCACAGCCACAGTGATTAAATCTGGATCCCTCGCAAGCTCTCTCCATGGTGCTGAAAGAGCCCCAGATCAGATTACAAGCAGCCAGAATAGTACCTCATCTAATCCATTACAATAATTGATTGACAGAGCATTGAAAGTGGCCCTGTAGTGAGCGCCAATTACAGTCATGTCCTATTGCATTTTCAAATTGGCACAGTTTGGCACAGCACATGGAAGCAATCATTCATGTGTGCAAGTCCGGGAGGCCTCTGGTGGTGGGAACTGGTCTAATCTGGGTGAGATAACCAAACTAGTTAATGTTTAACAGAACAGAGACGCAAACAGAGGAGGTGATGTCTTCAGGTTCAACTCTTCCTCCTGTAGGTGGTGCAATGAAGTCAGAGCTGCAGCTCAAACTTCTGCTGAACAATCTATAAATAATATAAATATGCTGAAAATCTGTCAAAAGCTGCTGTTAAAACGTGATTTTTATTCAAAAAACGTTTTCGAGTTTGCTCTGTGAGGAGAGGAAGAAAAGCAATCCTATAGAACAGAAAGGGAGGATGTGGTTGAGTTTGCATTAAAGCAGCGGCAGCTGTATGCTAATCAGGCGCCGATGCTTCCCGTCCACGCAGACACAGCGGCACACGCCACTGAGCAAACATGCGCATGCGTGCCTGTGGCCAAGGCCAGCGCACGCAGCCCGGCCCCCCAAAAGAAATTCTCTCTGGGGGGGAGAGAGAAAGAGGAACTCGTTAAAATGCCATCAAAGCTTGTAGTCCCAACAAACCACGACTAATAGACCCAAAGAACAACAGGAGTTAACGCCGAGGAGGCAAGAAAAGTTTCATTTAAACTGATTATTACATAAAATAATACTAAAGTTTATTTCCTTCTTATCGTCCCAGAATAATCAGCTTTCACTTGGTTTGGTTAATGTGTGATTGAAGCCGCTCGGACCAACATAACGGTGTGTTTTCCAGCAGGTGAGAAGGCACCGGGACACAGAGGCCCATTGAAAGGAAGGCCTGCGGCTCAGCTCCGATTGTGTAATTATTTGACTTGGTCATACTGCAGCTTTATGCAAATGAGGGGAACAATGAACGACGATGGAGATTAATTCCTCCCTGGTCGGCTGAAAGGGGAAAGAATGCGCTCTCTGCCAAGTGGCGCACATATAGGCCGCATTTAGGCACTAAAACGCACGCGCGCACACACGCACACACACGGCTGATTATAACATTCAGACTTTTAAAAAGTTATTTGCTGTTTTCAGTTTAATTAAAACAAATAAAAAACTTTTTGCGTATTTTATGGATTCGATTTAGACTTTAAAGCTTTATGAACGCAATTGTTAAGCTAACACCAGTGTTTTAGTAGTATTTTTGTGGATCTTACTCTGAATTTAATCGCAGATTGTCCCCAAAACAAGCCTCGGCTGCCGCCTCCTTTGTCCTGATTTCGCCCTGCACGCGCCTTGCTGTGGCCCAGATTGGCCATGAGTCCTGTTTCACAGTTAAGAGGTCAATTTGCCTTTGAAACAGAAAAAAAAAGATATCCAAGCTCAGGCAGACGTGGCTATTGTTCCCAAAGACCAGAGGGTGTTCTTATTACTTATGTATGCAGCGAGATGTCTGATTTATATGTCGAGTTAAACTGTCGAGACAGACACGTGCCCAGAGATAAAGAAACGCTCCTTTTATTGTGTTTATTTTCATCAGATAAAGGTGGCTTCGCTGTGCGTAAAGGTCGTGCGTAAAGATGCGGAACAAACAAATAAGTAAACATGTTGTAAAGCAGCGAGGGGAAGATCTAAAAGTGGGTTTATTATCTGATTTTATTATTTTTCTCACCACAGCAGATCTCTAAAGAAGAAACGAGTGATTATTAAAATTTTACTTTGATTTTTTAAATTCTAGACTTCGATTATGGTGACGGACGTTTCCTTTTGGCAACTCCAGGCCCCCGGAGGAGAGTCACAAAGCAGTGGCACGTGTGCGTTTGTGTAGGGGCCCATCAGACCGTAAAAAGAGGAGGGTCCCGGCGTGTGCCTCTGTCGGGGAGGGGCCCGCGCGCACACACATTAATGTAATAAACCGCCAGTACATCTGCTGAGCTATCTGCACATCCTCCAACGAAATCCACCAAACCCAGCCTCAGAGCCCTCCCACAATAAAATCCACTGGGATCTTGGTTTCATCCCATTGGTCGGGGATGCTGCAACGGGGGGGCGAGAACAATAGCATCATTCCGGCATAAAAAGAGTGGAGCTATGCCTTGGAGACGAAAACATTTCAGCAACAGAAGGATCGACTGGGGAGATAAAGTCCCATCAGCTTTTGGTGTTGCCATATTGTCCAACAAACCTGGATACTTCAGACTCCATCCGCCTTCCCGAAGTGCCTTTCCGCTGCCGCTCGCCAAGATGCCCAAAGGATTCCTGGTAAAAAGAAACAAGAAATCTGCACATGTTTCCTACAGGAGCCGCTCAGAGGAGGATGATCTCCAGGAGCTACCCACCCCAGTTGCCTTGCCGAGTCATACGGACCCCTCCCCGCCGATGTCCGTGGCGTCCAGTCCGGACCGCACCTCCGCCTCGCCGGATTTCACCTCAGCCGTCGCGCCGGTGCCAAGACTGGAGAAGCCGGCGCAGTTCGGTAACCCAGAGACAGTGTGCCAAGCCCTCTACAGCCCCACCCGACCCATCAGCAAGGAGCACGACAGGGAATATTTTGAGCGAAGTTTCAATCTGGGCTCGCCAATTTCTGCCGAGTCATTCCCCACAACCGCCTCCCTGTCCGGACTGGAGCATCTCCTGTACGCTCCGGTGGATCTGAAAATCGGCACCAGCAACAGCAGCTGCAGCGGTACCCACCACCACCCCGCCTCCTCCACCACTTCCGCCGCCACCACCAGCAGCACCAGCAGCAGTAGCAGCAGCAGCATCTCGGGACCAAACAACCGGGTTGCCACCAAACGACCCGCAGATGGAGCAGAGCGCAAACCCAAACCCGCCTCAAAGAAACCCAAAGCCATTAGAAAACTCCACTTTGAAGACGAGGTGACCACGTCTCCGGTGCTGGGGCTGAAAATCAAAGAGGGGCCGGTGGAGGTGAAGCCGAGGGCGCAGACCTCCGGGGGCAACAAGCCGTTGGGGGAATTTGTGTGCCAGCTGTGCAAGGAGGCGTACGCGGACCCCTTCTCCCTGGCTCAGCACAAATGCTCCCGCATCGTCAGGGTCGAGTACCGGTGCCCCGAGTGCGACAAGATGTTCAGCTGCCCGGCGAACCTCGCCTCTCACCGCCGCTGGCACAAACCCCGGACCACCGGCGTGCCTCCGATCCTCCCGGCGCCGGGCGTCAAACCCGACGCCGGCAAAGCCCCGCTGGGCGTCAAGTCGGTGTCCGACGAAGCCAAAGACATGAGCGACAGAGACACCCCGAGTCCAGGACTGTCCGAATCCGGTTCTGAGGACGGCTCGTATGACTGCCAGTTCTGCGGGAAGAGGTTCAAGCGCCAGGCGTACCTACGAAAACACATCATGGGACACCAAGCGCTGCAGAGCAAAGTGCTGGAGGAGCACGGGTTTCAAACCAGCGACCGAGCAGCAGCCGAGCAAGCTCCGGTGTCAGCCCCCTCCTCCTCCACCTCCTCCTCCTCAGCATCATCTTCAGCATCCTCAGAGGAAGCCTCAAACCAAAGCCCCCTGAATCTGAGTCCGGTGGACCGCCTGCTGTGCCCGGTGTGCGGAGAGAGCTTCACCAGCAGGGCCGGCCAGGAGCGACACCTGCGCCTCATGCACTCCTCCCAGATCTACCCGTGCAAATACTGCCCCGCCACTCTCTACAGCTCACCGGGGCTCACCAGGCACATAAACAAGTGCCACCCCTCGGAGAACAGGCAGGTGATCCTGCTGCAAATGCCGGTGCGCCCCGCCTGCTAAAGACCAAGCAGAACTTGTGCCTTTGATTGGAGAGGAAAGATAAAAATACAATTAAATTTAAACAAGTGGCTTTGGGTTAGAAAATAAAAAATAAAAAAGTTTGCTCACTGCCATAACTTTAGGCCAATGAAAGGCAGGGCTGTTTGATGTTTTAATGTCGTTTCCATGCCAATCAGTGATTGTTGAATGCTTGTCTCTATATTTGAACTACTTATAGGCCTATTTTGAGATTTGATTTCTCAAATTAGTTTATCAAGTGGATAAAAATGAAAACAAAGCGTTAGTTTGACTGTTAAAGGGTATTTTTCTAGGACAGCACATGCTCAACGATAGCTTCTAGACCTAAGAAATGTCTTCAATTCTCAGAAATCCTTTTTTGTCCCTCGTTTCCATCAGTCTGGATTCACCGTGTTTGCTTCATCACTGCAGCTTGTTTGTGAATGACACGACTTTTATCAAACTTAGGGGAGAAAAGAAGAGGAAAGTGTGACTGAAGAATTCACTGTTAAGTAGAACCACAAATGCCTTTAGAGTACAGATAATTCTAGTCTGAAATAGCCTACATACATCCAAATCCCGCTGTAAAACTGCCTTAAAAAAGTCAACATAGATTGTTTTTAATTTTCGATGCTGGCACATATTTTATTATTATTATTGAAAATTGTTGCAATATTTTCCATCATATTTATTTATTTATTCTAATTATTTTATGTAACTTATTATTATTATTGTGATTTTCTCATGTGAATCGTTCTGGCAGTTTACATGTCGTATAGCCAAAATATTTTTTTCTTCTTTTTTTTGGTTAAATTTTATTAGTTGTGCTAATTGTCGTGGGTCGGGTTTTAATCTTCAATCTTTACAGCTCTTGTTTGGAAAAAAGAAAGAAAAAAACGTAAAGCTCTTACCTTAGATGCAATCTTTTTTAAGGACAAGTTATTTTTCTTAATGTTGGCTTTTATAGCGCTTTGATTGTATGTGTATATCGTTGGTGTCTATCGAAATAAAAATATTTTCAAAAGGACACCTGCTCTCGATTTTATTTTAATCAAAATTTCTAGTGAAATAAACTGTTTTCCATTTTTATGCATCAAACTCAACTTTGCACATGAGAATGTTTTCATGATGCATGCGTTGATTCTGCAGGATTATTCGGGGCAGACATTTAAAATATTAACAATAAAGTTAGTTTTTCTACAAACATTTTTCTATGAACAGTAAAAATGTTGATTTAACTAACCTTTTTCCTAAAAAAACAAGTGTTAGAAAACTGTTGCAGGTTAAATTTCAAAATAAAAGTTCAGCTCAACCCTCCTGCTGATCTGACATAAATCATAGCTGCAGAGGCTGGAGACTTCGCTTTGCTGCAGCAGAGAAGCACTTAGAGCCTCCTCATA